ATATATATATATATATATATATATATATATATATATATATATATATATATATATATATATATGTTATATATATATATATATATATATATATATATATATATATATATATATATATATATATATATATATATATATATATATATATATGTTTATATATATATGTTTATATATATATATATATATATATATATATATATATATATATATATATATATATATATATATATATATATATATATATATATATATATATATAAAACGGTGTAAAGTACTGGATATTGCCACAGAAGTAAGTAATATTATCATGTGAAATATCAATTGTCATCATATGCGCGTTTATAGGTATCATTGCATGTTAAATATTAGTCTTTTACATAGTTTAATTTCATTTTAGATCGAATTGTTTTGTTTGTTATTTCAAATATTAATACGATATACAATATCCAGTCGACGTGTTTGATTTATCGATCGATTATATATATATATATATGAATGTTGTGGTTTCCCACGTCTACGATTCCACTCGTGTAACGTATATGTAGTGGTTTTTTGAGTTGTTTTTAGACGAGTGTATACCAAACCGGGCAAGCAGAAAATTCTACTTGACCGCGGCTGGGATTCGAACCCGCGACCTTCGCATTTCTAGAACGATGCTCTACCGTCTGAGCTCGGACGGTAGAGCATCGTTCTAGAAATATATATATATAGTGCCCTTCGACGAAAGTCTGCCCCCTTTGCCCTCTCGTCGTTCCGGCGTCCCTGCCTATCTCTTTTAGAAACACAAAAAGCTTATTCTTAAACGCAAAAGAAACAATATAGTAACTTTTTAATACCCATAATAAAGTCAGTCGGGGAAAAAACTCTTTATATTCAGACTTGTTGATCTGTATTCAGACCTGTTAATCTGTATTCAGATCTGTTGATGTTCAGTATAACTTTTTCTTGTTACAAGGAAGATGCGGTGAAACATGATAGTGAAACTCGCGAGCTTAGACGTTTCCTTGGTGAGGTTAGGGTTTTCGTTGAGTTCTGAGAGATTTTCAATCTCTTAAGAAAATAACTATGCCAATTGACCTTAGAAGTTCTTACATCACGTCACTGATAAACCCAGTGAGCTCTATATATACTGGAGGAAGAACTTCAGTCATTCGGTCTATGAGAAAAGTGAAGCCAAGTGAAGCCAAGATGGCGGCCATTGACGTCCAATAGCTCTGAAGGTCGTAAACAGTTCTTATACCATTTTCCCCAGCTAATTCCAGTTTTTTCTAATGGACCGTATCACTAATCAAGTTTTCAGTTCATAAAATCACAATATTATTCTTTAAATCGAAGTCAAAAAACGAAATTTCAACACATTCCTTGCCAAGATCACAGATGATAGATTGTACCAGATCTGTTCAGATGTCTCACTGTGTATCTATCTCTATGATTTTCGTGTCCACGATTTTCGCGAGGCTATCACGCCACTGACGCCACTGATAACGCGTGCGACACTTACTGCCAAAATGGCACTTACTGCCAAAATGAATGATTGCTCACGTTTCATGGCGTGGATTACACTTACTGCCAAAATGGCGGCCAACGCGTGCTCATAAAAAATCGCGGCACAATTTCCAAGATGGCGGAAATTGAAGGAGCTCTTGGACGTCAGTTCCAGTCCCTTTCTATTGTTTTTGTATGCGCGGTTAACATGAAACTGGCTTCACTTTGAGCAACCAAGTTCCTACTCCAGATATATATGGAGCTCACTGGATAAACCTTTGACCCACATATATCCCACATTGCATTGCGTATGCGACTAAAATGCATGGTGAAAACTGCGTGACGTAAGCACTTCTGGAGTCAATTGTGTGGAATGGTTAGAAAAACGTCGTCAGATTTGTGTTTCTTTTACTCTTTTAGATTTCTTCAGATTTTCAAAGTTCTGTTCCTCCCGCCAAACTGATAGCACTCGACTTGATACAGTCAATTAAACAAAGCAGTGCCATTTGAATACAAAACAATCTTGAGCCAATCTGCAGTTTGAGAGCAAAGTTATAATCTATCACCTCTTTTACTTTGTCCAACTCACAAGTTTGAGAAATATTTTTCATTTATTTTGTTCGTTGTCAAAACTTCAAAAGCAAAAAACGACGATAATATATTCGACGAGGAAGGGTCATTATGCAATATTACGTGGTAAATCACTGAATCTGTTTGGCAGCTTGCGGTGGAATGCCTTTGTTTCCAGAAATATACCGAGGAAATAATACTACGAATCATAAATGATTTGAAAAAATAATATTAAAGTAAAAAAATCAAGAATAAATGAGTGACAATTATTCCATTTCTATATACCCTATTATATTTCAAACACCGGACTACAGTTCAACTATAACTAATTATGTTTCGTAGTTTTAGACCTATAGAAATGTATCAGCGTGAAACCTTTTCGAAATATATTAACAACATTTTCCAACAATCCGCAAATTCTTGCATAGTGTATGTTACTGTATGCAACCAATGTTATGATTGTAAGGAGTGTGTTGTTGTCGATCAGTTGCGTGTGAATGTTGATGGCTGCGGTAAAATATAGCCTTTGTTAAGCTTTTAGAATAAGCTATCTACTGTTTGAAATGTGGTAAAAGCATAAAATGTACAAGTAAGATATAATATTGATTCGTCAGCGAATATGGCGACAGGAAGTGATAGACCAAAGAACATTGATGGATTTCAGAAGGTATTAAATTCACTTATATTTCTTAATAAGCACTAAACTCTAAAGGCCCGATCACAGTACACAACGATAACGATACGATAACTTGTAAACATGCAAAAATTATGTTGTCCACACTACAGCGAAAACAATAAAATGATCGTTTGAAGATAACGATTTTAAAGTCGCTCACCCGAGCCGAGCAATTTTTTTTTTCAGTCGGACGATAACGATAAATTTTTGACCAATCAGCGCGCTTATTCAAGTTATCGTTGTGTATCTAGTGTGATTCTTCGTTATATGTGTCCAAACATGGTAAACAAATATAACATCTGTCAAGACTATTGGCAGACGATCTAGATCTTGCGTGGGTAGTTACTTTGACAACAAAATGATTCGCCTGACAGTGTATAATTTATGGTATTAATTAAACAAACTATTACAAAACATCGAGTATAATTTCAATCCAGAACTATTGTCATTGTGAATCGTCTGTTCTAGCTAGTTTCTCTGGATAGTTAGCGTACAGCGACGTCGTAGATGGTATCAGTTAAACTCGCATTCGAGAATTTGGAATGCATTGTTTCCCGTGTTGCTATCGAGGTGGGAGGCATTTCAAAGCACACGGGGGGTGGGGGAGAAAATTTGGGAACGGAGAGCCACTCCGTTCCCACTCCGTTCACTATAGTCTCGCTTCGCCGTCTGTATTTTCCCACCCTTGCATCCTAATTAGCCTTTCTCACGATGACGAATATCTGCCATTATTGGGTGGCATAAAATTTTCATTATCCAATGCAGACAATTAAAACAATGTGAAAAGCAATTTTTCAAAATAAACTAACTATTTACAAAGCAAATTTACCATCATTCATCCAAAACATTATAAAAAGCACAGACTTCAGCTGAAATGCCACCCAATGGCGGCTAATTGGAATACACCTGTTGCATAAACCGCGGAAGTATCAGAAAGATGTATTCTGCAAGGATGGGGTATGCACGTTCATTAAATGTAGATATATATCTTAGTAAATTGACCCGAAATCCTAGTAATATGCAAGAAACTTTCCAAAGTGTGTTGGCTTTATTAAAAAATAATATTTTCAACTGATAAAATGTTAATCTTCCACAGGGTCTGTCATTAATTTTGGAAGCGAAGGAAGAAGATGCCGTGAAAAGAACAACACTGGAACAGTTGCTTTCCCAAACTGCAGTTTGTTTACATGGCCTACAGGGAAACGTTTTTTCTGTAATAAATGGAGATTTTCCTGACCTTTTGAAAACGTTTGAAGAACGTATTGAACGACTGCAACAAAGAGATTACTGCATCCTGGTTGCTGGTAAATTAAATGTCCATTAAGAATATTATATACTCACACATCATTCTGCACCATTTAGAGGCAGAGCCAAAGCATCTGTCCGGCAATTGTAGAACCAATAAAATACGAGTTCTTGAATAAAAACACTCAACCATTTATACTTTTGACAGATAATTGACTTTTAGTTTAGCCAGTTTGTGTAAAAATCCATGTTAAAGCTTTATCTCCGATGCAAGTTGACATTATTTTTATATATATCACTACCTTTACCAAACATAGACAACCAAATTGATATTTTCATGCTGAAATTAGCTATACGGAAAATGTTATGATATATTTGGACATTTAGGCCAGGGTCAAACGTCAGTGAATTTTTCATGCGCCGAACCTAATGCAAATGAAGTGAAACAAAGAACTTAGCTCATTAACATTAGGTTCGGCGCATGAAAAGTTCGACGTTTGACCCTAGCCTTAGAGTGCGAATTACAGTGTTTTGAACATTTTGTTTTGCTTATAAGTCTTATACAATTGACTGGAATTTGCCGCTGCAGTAAAAATGAGCACTTGCATGTCAGGGAGATTATTTTCGGCACTATGCGAGTCGAAACAGTCCACTTTTATCAACTCTCATGTAACTTTTGTTCTCATTTGACCAGAGCACGAACTAGAGTTGAGAAAATTGTCATGCATATACTCCCGCTTGCCATCTCGTTTGACCGAAACTTTACTCCACACTATTAATCTACAACTTTAATATAGCTTGTGATATCGTGTTTTTAGGGGAAACCAGTTCTGGAAAAAGCTGTATGATAAACCTGTTACTTGGTGTAGACCTTTTACCTTACTCCATCCTCAGCACAACATCAACAATATGTGAGATAAAGTACGGCCTACACCCAAAACTTGTTGCGCATTATAAAAACGATGGCGATAACTCCACACCACCACTGCTGCCGAAAACTGTAAAATTGAGAGATCCCAATGATTGTGGCAAGAGCTACCGAGACCAAATTGCGCCTTATGTTCATTTGAAGGAGAAGAGGGAAGAAGGAACCAGCTATGAGAAAGTGGAGATATTCTGGCCACATGAATTGCTAAGGGTGAGATGAAAAATTATAACGGTCGCCATGGTTAATGACGTCACAGAGTAGATACATGTACAGATTTATAACTAGTGTACCCACTTTTTTTGTGCGCATGCTCGGCAAGTTATAACTAGATGTATGCATCTCATTGGATGGCGACTCGCTTTAACTGCTCGCGGAACTTGCCGAGACGCGCAGTTGATCAGCATTTTTTGCCCGTTCACCTGAAAAAAAGTGGGTACATGAAAACGTAAGTTTCCGCAACGAACGGCCAGTTCCAGCTCTCTGATGACGTTGCCTGGAAGTGTTGTGCACATGATGTTTGAATAAGAGGCCCTGAAGAGGTTGGGTCTTATAGATCTCCCATTTCCCAGTCATGTTTTAGACCCAGTCCCAACTGGAAATCCCAGAGCAGGTGGTTCATAAATGTGATGACTTTTAAAACGCATTTCCGCATGCAATTGTACTATTTATGAACTAGTTTTGCCGAGTAAAAAGTAAATGACAGACTCGCGATGGCAGAAAAAGGACCCCATCGAGCTTATACGTCGGTTAAATTCAGTTTTCTTGGACTTTTACTAACAAATTCAAAATTTGTTCTATAGCTATTTTTAATTAAAGTTATTGTTTTATAGCTGTTCTTAAAGTTTCATGATAGTTCCTAATCCAAAAATAGGTTCCCATTTTACCCCTTCAGAACCCTCGAATAAGGATGACGCTGGCTATATACCAAGAGGATATCTTTTCCTTACTTCATATACCTGGAGTCTAGAGTATATAAGAGATTGTAGCGTGACTTTATATCACCTGTGATGAAAACACTAGACAGGGGTGTCGAAACGTTGGGGGATTATATTAATTTATTATACCAGAACAGCGTTAATTCCTTTGAAGGGATTACATTTGCCCGGAAACAACAGAGTACGTTATCTACATGTAATAGTTTGCAAGTAAGATATGTAGACACATGACCTTTCTAGGTTGGTATTGTGATTATCGACAGTCCAGGTGTTGGTGAATCTGAGAAAATGGATCAAATTTTGATGAGCTACCTTCCAAAGGCTTTTGCTTTTATCTACGTGATTAGCTGTAATAATGCTGGAGGTATTCAAAAAGACAGGGTGGGTATTAAATAATTATTCTCAATTCTGCTTTTGCAAAAACCAGCGAGAAATTCGTTCCCTCTGCTTGTATTCGGTCTCCCCAAACACGAACGCCACGGCCAGCCGTTTTTTGGTTTAGTAAATAGATTCTGTAATTATAAAAAGCGCCATATATCTTTCGAAAAGGTCTCTGCTGGTACCATGCTAAAAACAATTTAGCGTTTCCGTGCTTCACATGCAAAAAAAACTTTTTCAAAAATTTCTGTTTCACAGCAAGCGCCTTTCACCTCTGAGATCTTGGGTTCGATCTCCTTGCGGGCTCATGTGGACGTGGATTTATTCCGGTACGCCGGTTGATCTGGGGAAAATGCACCACATTTGAGCCGAATGTGGAATAAATTCCCTCGCGTAATACAAATTAATACAAAATTTGCAAATTTCGCATTTTCCTCATTTTACAACATTTCGCGGCCAAACTTTACTAATTTTAACATGCTCTTTCGATTCTAGCTGTGGTGATACCGGTAGATGTTTTTCTTCTTGCCTATAGATCACAATTTAGTCCATAGCTGGGATCTTCCATTTAGCTTAATTATATAGTAAGGAAGCAAGTAACGGGATGACTAACACACTCCTACTTACTTACCAAAACTTACCTTGTTTAGTTGGTAAGGATCTTGGACAAGGTTCGTAGTCTTGAATCTGAAGATCAAATTAATTCTAACGATTTGGCCGAGTGCGCGTTATTTGTTGCCAATAAATGGGACCAGGTGGATGAAGACGAACGGTCTGTAGTGAAGCAACACATTGTTGAACAGTTGAATCTGTATTGGCCAGATGGAAATCCAGTTGCGCAAACAGTCTATGTTTCAACAAAAGATGCTCTGAAGGAGCAGAAACGTGGCCGTATCACTGAAGAATATGATGTTTTACTGGAAGGAATAAAGTCCATGATTTTGAAGGCTATTTACAGCAGATTGAATAACCACTGGACGTGAGTATCTAGCTCTCTGGACATCACACGCCAAATCTCAAGTATATATATAAATGTCACGTTACTTATATGCCCGTTTAATTACTGTCAGTTCTGAACTGCCCTCCTCATGAGATGGCTAGCACTATTTTCCATCCAGCAAACTGACCTGACGTCATTTTTGGAAGATGGAAGAGGTGTTAAATGGCTATATAACTAACCTAAACCCTACTCTAACTCCTAACCCTAACTGCAACCCTAACCCTAACCCTAACCCTAACCCTAACCCTAACCCTAACCCTAACCCTAACCGAATTAATAAAAAAATCCAATCTTTGACTAGTGTTACTATATGCAACACCTTTTATCGTTTTAGATGGGTGAACATAGTTTTGGATCGTATACTTTTCAGGATTAATGGATTCAACAAATCTATGTTAGAAGATCGTGACAGCCTTATCCAGCGAATGAATGCACTTCATAGGAAGATATTGGTGCTTCAGGAAGCACGTCAACAGGAGATAGCTGAACTGAAAAGAAAGTTTGTGGATGAAACGGAAAATATTGTCGATGCGCTTTTTGATTACCTTCGTTCCTCGGAATTCGAAAGAAAATTTACAACATGGGAAACCAGCGAAATTCCGGTCGCTGAAGAGTCGTGGAAATTGACGAAGGTTAAGATTCAAAAAGCATTGGAAGATAGATTTGAGATGTTTTTGACAAAATGGGAAGAAAGGAATGGTGTCCACGCCAAAGTACACGACGAACTTGTCCAATGTTTTCAATCAAGGTCTGAATTTTAACTTGCATCACATTGCATTGCATTGTATTGCATTGGTACTTTATTGTATTGTATTGGTACTTGCATTATTGTATTGTATTGTATTGGTACTATTAATACCAGTATACCATGGTATACTGGTATGGGCATTCTTACTGTACTGGATTGCGTTGTGTTGTGTTGTGTTGTGTTGTATTGTGTTGTGTTGTGTTGTGTTGTGTTGTGCTATACTATGTTGTGCTGCGCATTGCAATTTAATTGTATTGTATCATATAATCGTATTGCAGTTTGGAAAGTTTACTGTAGGTAATTAATGAATTTCTGAATTTTTACCTTAACATAAGAAATTAAGCTATTGTATTTCAATGTATAACTTGAAAATGATGTTAATATTATTATTTTAAAGATTTCGTCTCGCAGAAGCAGAGATAAAAGAAATAGAAGACATAATACACACCCAACATTCCCAAGCTAGTTCTGAATCTACTGAGAAAAATAAAAAAGTGCTTCAATTTAATATCCGCGCAAAGGTTATAATTGGAGCTACAAGTCCCCTATGGGTCACTGTTGGTGTTGCGAGTTTGATTATAGCACTTCCGGCGCTTGCTATCAGACAGGCTCGAAAAAGTATTGGAGCAAAAATGAAGATTGATGATTATCAAAAAGATCGAGAAGGATACTTAACAAAAAAATCCAAGAAGTTTTTGACGTCTGTGACTAAAGAAAACGTACGTGAGTTTGTTAAGGAACAGATGCATTTAGCAGATGCAATGTTGCAAGAATATGTGTCCAGAATTCCGAGAATCCTCGAAGCAAACAGAAGAATGGCTTCGGAATTGATGCATGAGACGCGATCTAAAGATGAGGTATGGCGATCCAACTTACCCGTATTCAACAAATGTGTGGAATTGAAAAAAATGCTGTCCAAATTTGGAATCCAAATCTGGTCGGAAACGATCAGTTCAAACCAGCTCAGTTGGAGTGAGGATCCTTTAATTGGAGAAGGGGAATTTTCTTCAGTGTATTCGGGTGTTTTAAGCAATGGCAATGCAGAAAATTCCGAAGACAGCCGCCCTGTAGCAAACGTGGCTGTTAAAGTTTTTAAACAACCTCTTGATTGTGAAAATGCCAACTTATTTCTGCAAAACGAAGCCATATTAAGGTAAGTTATGCTGGAATCATAGGCGTACGAGACAGGCAGCAGAGGGGGCAACTGCCCCCTAAAACTTTAGAAAACCATGGAAATTTGGGCAAATGCTAAAAATAATCAAGAGTATTCGGGCAGATTTATCAGAAAATATGTTAAATTCAGGTTATTTCATTATAACAACCCTTCACAAATGCCCCCCCCCGGGAAGGATCAGTCCCGTACACCTATGGCTAGAATGATGCTATAACGTTAACTACGTTCCTTTATCTGTAGGTTTTAGTTTTACAGCGACCTCATCAAACATTCTGGGGCTGGTTGTATATAAAACTCATAACTACCTTTTTATCATTATTTTGGAGTTAAATAATAGTAACCTCTAAAATATGCGATTTTGATTGGTCAACTTTCGCACTAACTGTCGTTATAACTTTAACTACCTTTTTATACGACTGGCCCCTGGAGTAATTACAATTGATTTCACATAACTTTTCACTAAATATTGTGTACGTCGTTCCGAACTTCGTTGTGAAGTTCAAAAGTTCATACTGAAATTCACAAGCCGGTTTGTAAACAATGCATTTAATTGGCTTATTTTTGTCCAGGGACCAATCAGAGGCTTTGTTTGCATACCAGGAGGCTGCTCCATTTACTGTTCGGAGTACTCCGGATTTTCGGAACACTCATTAAATCGAACAAGAGATCGAACTAATAATGGACGTCACATGCAGTGGCGGCGCCAGGG